TAGTATCATATAAAATGACAGAGTCCTGATGTTGGTGAAAGATGAGTTGTTTATTTCGCATTCATACGGAAGAGAAGGCGTTGCTCAGCACTTTTTTCATACACAGTGACAGACAAGCTTCCTACTTTTGACATACTGTAGAATGTTTGTTGTTATTGCTTACATTTGCAGAACAGGGCATTCGACTTACCTTTTACTGCATTTAAGACATGAGCTGTATTTTTCCACTGACCTATAGATGCCCCCTGGTGTGCTTCCACTTACCAGGGTTAAAAGCAGTTAGGAAGCTAACTGGTACAGGCAAAGTTACACGGACTAGACCTAAACTAAGACGAAAGTTACTTTACTACACCATGATTGCAGATAAAAAACCAAGACTCTATGTTAAACATGTAACGACACGTAGTTTAGGACCCTGTGCAGGTGGTATAATCCAGAAGTGACTGGAAAAGGGCTATGGGGAAAACACGGTGGGGAATGGAAGGGATTGGCGAACGGGGCGGTGCCGACAGTGAATCCAGGTGCAAGGGGGGAACAAAGGAAAACAAAGTCTAAAAAACAGTCCAATGTAGAAAATCCTATGTCCAAAACAGGGAATCCATCCAAGACAAGACAATTAAAAACAGGGACAGGGACAGGGACATGGAACAAGGAAATTAAAAACGGAGAGACAAGGCCAGGAGCTCCAAGCCCCAGACTCAGCTTGGTCAGGACGCTGTTAGGAAGCCTAAGACTTCAAGCTGTGGATGTAGGGCGACTTGTTGCTAGGCAGGCCTCCAGACATCCATCTTCCAAAGCAGAGCACCAGGTTGAAATAAAAAACAGAACAAGGGGCAGGTGAACTTTATAATGAAACGAACACAAAAGGATTGGAGCACCCTCTAGAGGAGGGATGACGTTCATGACAAAGCAGAGTGGAGTCTACACAACACAACAAAAAAATGGAGTTGATAAACACAGCAGTGAGAGAAGTTTATGGAATCACAATCGCAACACTCGTATTAACAACATCACAATAAGTCCTGTTTCAGACTACATAATGGAAAATGCACTTAACATATTAAATAGTGTTACACTTGAGGAGTCCCAAAATATAAATGTGTTCTCTTTGGCATCTGCTATAAAATATAATGTAATATCTGTAAATATAATATTCAGATATCTGACCAAGTTTTCACTTCAGAATAATTTTATGTACAGGAAACGTAATTTTAATTCATCCGTCCAATATCAGAAAGTGACTTCTTCTTTGCAAGGTTTAGTGTAACCTGGAACATATCCCAGACATATAGAGTGCAACACATTGTTTAAATTAAGATTTTTATTTGATATCAGATGCCTCTTTAACCCCTTCATAGTTCATGTCTCTTGACTCCACAGTGTTTTAAGAAGGATGGTTCGTTGGTCATTATTGACTCAATTCTGTCAATAGATAAAAGCAGTTAACTGCCAAAAAAGCATAGGCTAAGGTAGCATCATTGTTAATGGAAATGAAAAACACACACTCCCAGCTATCAGCTTTGGACAGAAATCTCATAATTGTTTGTTCTTCAAAAATCAATTTCAAACACAGACATTTTACCAATTAGTTATTAGTGGGTACTACAGTAGTTAATCAATGAAAAGGTGTAAATTAATCATATTTGACTAGATCAAATTAATTTTAATCTAAGAGGCTGGAACTATTATTAATTGTGATAGATATGAATAATTGTGATAGAAAAATTAGGAATTTTATTTTATTAATTTATAAATGTGACTGCTCCTCTCAGGAACTACAGTATTAATCACGACTTTGAATCCTTATAAATGTCACGTCAGAATGATCACAAACCATGCAAGACTTGCATGCACATATCTTGATTGAAAAGACCAATTAAGAGATATAAAGGTAAGGAAATTTATAACGTGCTCAAAGAACTTATTGGAAGCGTACTTACATTGTCATTTTTCTGTCTTAAATTCCTGACATTTCTATAAGTGCTTTTCATCCAGAAGCATTTTGGTGCTTTTCATCCAGAACTTTACATATAGGGGTGGGTCCACTTCACCAGTGAAGTGCAGCGCCCGTCTGGGTAACCCACAGCTGTCAAAAGGCACCAGCATCCCCACCGCACAGCAGAACAGCTAGAGAAGTAAGAAACTGCTTCACCTTTTGAATAAAGGAGGAACTTTTGCAAGGGCAGATTGTTCCAGCCCAGAGTGGAATTCAGCCAGGACAACAAGATTAACCTTACTCTTATGAATGTGGGATCTTTAATGACAGGGTATTTATTGGGAGTCAGGACCTTGATTTAAAATCTCATCTGAAGGAAAGAGAAGATAAATGTGAGATTCAAGAGAATTGTATCAGTGTAGCATTCACTGTTAGTTTCAATCACACTCATTCAAAAGTATTATAATATTGAATTATAATAAGATTGCATGGTGGCATAGTGGTTATAACTGCTGTCTTATAGGACTTGGGTCCAATACTGGCCTAGTGCATATTGTTTACAGCTTTTGCATGTTCTGTCCATGTCAGTGTGGTCTTTTTCTGGGTGTTTCAGTATTCTCTCACCCCTGAAAAATGTAAGCTAGGTTAATTGGTGTCTCTTAATTGTCAATGGATCTAAAGTCCTGTTATACTATGAATGAGTCATCAGTTTTTGTAACTAATCATTTACAGATACAAACACATATGAATGAAATGTTAACATATTTTAGAAAAACATTTTGAATCTCATTAGCTATCTCTGCTGATTAATGATTATAAGGTTTATTGGAAACCATTTTTTTTCTAGATCCAAGTGCTTCAAAGTGTTAATGTGACATGTTTGTCTGTGCTATGTGTTGTATTGTACATATCACTTTGTTATTAAACAAGCCTACATTCTTATATCCCTTAGTTTGCATGTTCTAACAGTGAAATTATATCTTTTACAGGTAAAAAAGGTTTTTCATTTATTGTAATGCAAATGTCAGAAATCAAGATTCAGGCTAAGAAGATGTACTGTAAGAAACTTCAAAATAATTACAGCATCTTGCATTCCCTTACAACAATGTTCCACTGTGGTGAGATACAAATGAACTGGTACTGTATACAATACCATACACATATTTAATGAAACTTGAATACTAAGACTAAAACCTATTGGTAAAAAAGTTAAATGTCAGAAAAAACTGCAAAGATATGTCAACAACACAATCTTTGACACAAGTATTCACCCCTTTACTATGGTTTATCAAAAAATTACCTTTGAGAGTAGTTTTGAGTTTTGAGAACATCACAGTACATCACATCAATTGGCAATCAAGTCATCAATGACATGACAGATGCAGAGCTCAATTGGAATGAAAAAGAGCAGACAGTGTTCCTCTAGGACCAGCAGTCTACCCCATTCAGTCCATGACTGGCACTGGCACATACAGTAACTGGAAAATGAGTTCAGATGATATGGGGGATGATTTTCAGAACATGCAGCTGGTGCATTCAGGTTCTTGGTATTTCTAATATATTAGTAATGCAGGTTTTACATTAAGCTTAGCGGATCTGAAAAAAAGCCTAGAAACAAACCACCAGTGGAAGCTCAGTTGACTGATTACAACTCAGGACTCTCTGCAACAGCAGTTCTGCGCTGATGTTTCTCTAGACTCACAGGACTGCATTATTCATGTTCTGCACTATTGCCAGCAAAGCACACCTTGCCAAGGAGCATAGCTATCAGAGAAGGGCTAATACCTGATTGTGTACATCAAGTGCTTTCAGAATCGAATACTGTGGCAGTCTTCCTTCTTAAGCATTGTCAGATGGCCAGGCTAGGTGACTGAAAGGAGGAAAAAGCTTTAGAAAACCTTCATGTTAGATGAAAAGAAGAAGAAAATTGTAGTCTAGGTGATATTTTAGAAATGCCCGGTGACAGAGCTCGTACTGGCTTCGAGTTTTGCTTACAGTATATTGGCACTTGTAATGTGAAGTTATTGTAATTCCATAAATAGGTGCAGGAAGTTAAAAAATGAACTGTGCAACATAATTGAAGTGAAAACAATACAGACAAAGGAGAGAAGAGGTTTGATGGACAGGTCACAGCTCGGATCAATTAGATTGACTGGCCCTGATTTTTGCCACTGAGACTCTGAGACCAACACGTTAAAAAAAAAAAAAAAAAAAGCAGTCTGGCAATCCATGTTCAGAAAAATGGAGAGATCTGTAAGAACATGAATGCTTTGTGGTATCAGCACCACCTCATCAGTACTGGTCCTTAGTAGTTTCCTGATAGGGCTGTGTTTTTAAACATTGTACTGTAGGTAACATACTGTAATACCATACTGTACTCCCAAAGCAGGTTTTCTGAAGATTTTAGATTCTCTTAACTTCTAACTCTCTGCACTTTGTAAAATTGGGCTATGACCATTACAGCTACAGTAATTGTTTGAATGTATAATTATTCCCTGGTTTGAAGAAACACTGTGAAACTCACTGGAGTTTTGTTTGTTGCGTATACTGTACCTCATTATTCTGTAAACAATTTTAGGCAAAAAATATAAAAAATATTTCTTCTGAAAAAATGTAAAAATAGCGTAGTATTTGTAGTAATATTAGTGAAGGTGGTGGCAGTTTTACTAAAAGAATTGCACTTTGTGTTATATTTGTTTGATGTGCTGAAAACATTTCCTCGTATTTAATAATATAACTCGTAACAATCTCTATACTTAAATATATATATAATATTTTATAGGCCTTAAATTGTGTCTTTATTAAATAGTTACTGTATGCAATAAATACATATGCAGTAATTCATCGTTTATGTACTGTATACGGATTTTAATCTGAAAAATGATATTGATGAACACAGTAACTCTTGACTAGTACTGGGAATGAGCCAAAAACAAACACGATCTATCAGATTAAATAGGCAGTCAAGACAGATCTGCTGGTTTTGTTTACTCCAAGTAGCCTGTGTCCTGTGTTAAGATCTCTGGGCTATTGTCACTACTCTGATGTCATCCGAGCCGCAGAAGCCGGGGGAGAGAGTGGAGGAGTGACTGAGCGGTACAGTCCGTGCTGTGCTGTGAAACTGCGAGTACAGGTGTCTGGCTTCTTCATAGCCACTATCAACAAAGTTTGCGTCTCCAAGAGTCTCTTTTGCGAGCGAATAGCAAATATATCAGCTTGGTCTCAGATTTTAACCACAAAAGAATACCGAAGGTGGAATTGCAATTGTGCAGGTATGTTTCAATAAACCTTACTTTATTTTATTTTTTTTAGTAATCTGTAGTATTCGTCTTCCGTTTTCTTTTCATTCATGTGATTTGGTAATGTAATACCCTTTTTGTACAGTACATGTACAGTAGACGAACATGATGGTGAAGTCGTTTAGATAGTAGACGTTTCAGTAAAAAAAAAAAAAGATTTTGTGTTTGTGCTTGTTCCAAAATATAGATACCATATACGTGTTCGTTTATGTTTTATAAACAAATATTTGACAGATTGTATTTCGATGAACGTTCTGACAGACTTTATTTTTGTAACATACAATGAATTAGCACTCTCTTTAATATATATGTTTCAGACTATGATATAAGAACTGTTCTAAATATTGTTTCTTCTTCTTACTCTTACTTTTATTAAGATCCACAAGCAATGGAGAAGCCAGTGGAGATTTTTAAAGAAGACAGTTGCTTCCCTGTCTCGTCCGAGGAGTGCTCCACATGGCTGTCTGGTTATTTTGACATAGATAATGTCACAGATGAGCACGGCTGGGCAAATCAAACCATGTCGCCTATCATTCCCATCATTACTGCTGTTTATTCCGTTGTGTTTGTGGTGGGCTTGGTGGGCAACTGTCTAGTCATGTATGTTATCATCAGGTAAGATTCAAATTTATATTTATAATATTTTTAACATGTTAATAATTATTTCAATCAATATTTAATTATTTGTTTTTACAAATTTTATCAGTTGTTTTTTTCCCCCAACGTTAGTTCTTATATCTCAGAAACCAAAGTTCCTATTTAGACTTCAGTGTTATAACTGTGCCTTTTCATTTTGAATACACGTGAGCCACCCAGCGGTTATTTTTAACAGAAAATAGCTCTGAAAATGAAGACGGAGAACTGCAATAAATGTTCAGTAGCCCTTTTAGCTTTTCTATTTAGCAAAATGTTGAATTTAGATTCTCTGCATTAATTTTCTCCCTCCAAAAGACGCTGTCTTTTTATGCTGCATTGCACTATACGCCTGATATGACCTCATCTGCGGTGAATTTTCATGACATAATATTGGCATGAGGAAAACTGATTTATTTCCATAAATCAAGTAATCTATATAATGGACGTCTCTGAAATAGATTTTCTAAGGACAATATTGTTATTTTATATATTTACTGTTTATTATTAATCAGTTATCATTTAATGTAAGTGGGCTTGGCTATATAATATTAAGACCCGAAGAAGGCTTGATAACCGAAACGTTTTTTTTTTCCTACTTATCAGCGTGGACATAACCTTTGCTATTTCCCAAATAGTGTTATAGTAATAGTGCAACAAAATATTGAACATATAAGACCCTAACAAACGTAATAAATAATATATTAAATAGGATGCTATTAGCAACTTAGAATTGGTGTGAGTTTTATTTCTCATTTGGACATTTTTAATTTGATGATTAAAAGTCTTAGACAGCCCTACTTTAGATGTTAATCATAACCATTTTGCTCTAACCTCCAGTGATGCTTAATTCTTTTCAGGACAACGTACCCTGAGTAAAATCATTACATCTTGCCTCCTCTAATTTCCTAGTCAATCAGTTTTCCATTCAATTTTCCAACTGCTTCATCCAGTTCAAGGTTGCGGGGGAGCCGAAGTCTTTCCCAGCAAGTAATGAGAGCACGGAGGGGTACATCCTGGGCAGGACGCCAGTCATAGAGACACAGATACGCACACACTCACATCTAAGGCCGGTTTTCCCAGAAGTCAGTTGTTTTTGGATTGTGGGAGGAAACGGGAGCACTCAGAGGAAACCCACATGGATATGGGGAGAACATACAAGCTCCATGGAAATACGCCAGGTCCAGAATTGAACCCAGGGCCCCTGGTTGCAGCACTGTGTAGCTGCAATGTTAACCACGGCACCACTGTGCTGCCCTCTAATCAGTATGTGATTAATGCATCACATGTGATTAACGTATGTGTAGTTACTTATTTGGGGAGTGTAATCTTTTGCAACAAATGATCCTAATGTAGTTTGATAATGACAACATTCACCCACGATACATGGTGCTGTCCTCACCTTTTAACCCATTAAATATTACTTAAGCATTATTTTGCATGCCATACCGTGATGAATTTTATGCCCGTTAGTCACAATAAAGTCAGCTTTTTATTGGGTTTATTGGGTCTAGCTACTCTCATGCATTTGTTACCTACTGTCTGTTCATGATTGCTTATCATTTCATTGACAATCAAGTTTTCAAATCTTAAATATCATTCACATGTGCTTTGGCATACTGTATTTCCCACACCCATAGGGATATTTTGAAATTTGGATTTCTCATATCAGTGGCTGGTAGGTTAATTGGCTTTCTGGTAAATTGGCCCTGATGTGAGTATGTGGGTTTTGTAGTCCGTGTGCCCTGCAATGGATTGGCATTCCATTCAGGGTGTACCCTGCGTAGCACCCACTGCTTGCCAGGATAGGCTCCAGCTCTCCCATGACTTTGATGTGGATGAAGATGGTGGGCCCCCTGCTGTTCAGCATTTACACATTTGCACTTGGTCAGGTTATTAAAATCATACATGCCGAATTATCATTTCTATGCTGAAGATACTCAAATGTATGCCCATACTAAACCTGACAATGAAGTAGCTGTTTCTGCACTTTCTAATTGCATCTCTGATATAAAAACCTGGATTACTTAAAATTTCCTTCAATTAAACTGTGATAAGACTGAGGTCATGCTACTCAGCACCTCCCATCACCTACAGTAAAAACGATACAGTAACCCTCTATGGATGGCAATGTGCCTGAATTTCAATCAAAATTTAAGAATGTAGGGGTGTTATTTCGTTATGACTTGATTCATGTACAGCATACTGTAAAAATATAATTATTTTATCTTATAACTACAGCCAGATAATGTCCTATTGTTGTCTTTGTCTGTAGCAGAAAAGCTGATCAACACATTCGTCTTTTGAGAAATCGATTACTGCAACACCCAGCTCACTGGGGTATCGACTGTAAATCCATACTGAACAAATACAGTATGTTCAGAATTTAACAGAATCCTGACCAGGTTGCATGCATGCGACCACATTATGCCCATCTTGCACAGAAGCCTTGCACTGGCTTCTATCAGGTTTTGAGTCGATTTCAAAATCTTCACGTACAAGGGTCTAACTGTACTTGACTTGGCACCTCAGTACCTATCTGACTTATTATCTGCCCCCACGTCACAACCTTAAATGATCTGATTCTGGTGTTCCATACTATATGTCCCACAAGTTTGTTTACATTCTGCTGGTGATAGGGCCTTCTCTTGCTACACCCCAAAGCTCTGGAATTGTACAGTATCCCAAAGGATATCAGAGAGTCACCTATCCTGAGTGCATTTAAATCTGGACTCTTTCTTTTCAGAAAGACTTTTATTTAATTAGTGTCTGTGTCTACACCATTTTCTAATGACCACGTACAGTATCTTCTGCTGCACTTCTAATCCCTTGTGTTTCCTATACGTGCTTATTTTGTAATTTGCTATCCTTATAACTGTTTTCTTTTAACTGTTTTTTTACATCTACCCTAAAGCACTTTGAGATGCTATTTAAAAGGCACTAAATGAAATAATGATTATTATTATATCAATTTACAGCAAAAACTATTTCATATTAGTGTTGATGATTGTAATTTTAATACAGTAGGCCTCTTGATCAGAATAAATATATTTTGAGTACTGATGATATGCAGTATACTGAGACTGGGATGCAGATTGAAGTAGTGTTTTTATGTTCATTCAAACTCATTCTTAAATGTATACTAATCTTTCCATGTGTTATATATAAATATATAAATATAAAAAACAAAGCTAAAGAAAGCCATCTAACAAATTTAGTAGTGTTGCCTCTTGTCTGCAATTTTCCAGGACATCAGAGGGGCATACATTTAGATTTAAGATCAAGTTAGTTCTGAACTGACAAAATAAAGACATTTTTAAATCATTCTGCTTTTAGCATAAGGGAATAGAAAGATCATTTCCCCCTTATCTACAGTGTTTAAGCTCTGTAAGTATCCACACATCATTCATTTGTTAGAAGTCAAAAATAAGATGTCCCGATACAATTTTTACTGTATTAAAAATGAATACTGTTGGTAATAAGGTGATAAATATTCAGCAAACTACCAGGCACATAAACGCCACAAGGATCTATAGCATAGTCTTATTATATCCAGGACCTGATGATCATACAATTAATATTTATACCACAGACATAAAGCACTGTGGAAATTGTGGACATAGATTTTTTTCTGAAGGTAATCATTTCAAAATGGCAGGGCTTTGGACTGCATGGTACAAGAATCATAAAATGATTTATGTAGTTTTTTTCCAGTATGCTCAGTATTAATCCTTTCCACCGCTGTTTAGATCTCCAAGACAACAACAGCAACACATTCACGAATTGTCCTTAATTCAAAACTGTTATCATATAAATGTTTACTCTTAAAGTTTATTTCATTTTTTAAAAACATTCAGTATGCATTGGGGAACAGTCACAGATATGTTTAACATGCTGTAAGAGCTGATCACAATGTGGCCTCTCTATTTAAAGGATAAAATATATCCTGTTGTAATATGTACATACAGTATGTACAAATGTACATAATACGTTGATCCTTTTCTTTAACTGACATGTCTCACCTACAAATGTATTATTTTAATAATTCATATAAATAGATATATACAATACTTTGCATTTGATAAAAATGCAACATTTAGAAAAAATCAATCTACAATCATTTAAATGGAATAAAGTTGTTTTTAGTAAAATATATTTTTAAACAATTATGATTTCTTTATTGTCAAAATATTGTGTATCCAACGTAGAGAAAAAAAATAAAAAATACAGTAAAAGTTGTACAGTATTAGGTACAATTAGTATCAGTATTAGTAAGTGAAATTGTAATTTTGGCTATGTATTAAAGACATTTGTATTTCAGGCAAGAATATTAATGTGTCAATTTCAACTTTTAGTCCTGGATTTTAGTTTGTAAACATGTTTAGTCAAGTTAGAAAAATATAATTTGCTGTGTTTGTTCCTCCTATTCTAGTGAGTATCAGTACTGAGTCAGTACTTGGTCACAGACTCCTTACTCATCAACATCATCAAACTCTTGATATGTTCCTTTGAGATGCTTTCCCAATCCTTAACTGTAGCCACTTTAATGTTGTTGGTAGTTTGTGGGGTTTTCTGGCTTTAGTTTCCTCTTCAGCAAGTAAAATGCATATTCAAAAGGACTCAAATCAGGTGATTGACTTTTCAAAAGTTGCCACTTCTTCCTGATGAACTTCTTGGTTTCAGTGCCAGAATGTTTCAGGTCATTGTCTTGCCGCAGGGTGAGTTACCACTCAATGTGTTTTTGTAGACTTCAGAATTCATTCTGCTGCTGCTATCATCAGTTCCATACTCAATAAAGTGAGCCAATTTTCAGAGACGTCCGTGCATGCCTAAGCCATGCCATTACCTTCATGGTGCTTCACAAATGAGGTGTTGTGCTTTGGGTATTTGCAGTTTCTCTCTTTCTCCACTCATTTGCCTTTCTGTCATTTTGATAAACATTTATCTTCCTCTTGTCTGTCCATGAAACTTTGTTCCAGAAC